ATTTTCTGCTCGTTCATAATACTTCGATAATATTGTGATTTTTTTTTAATCGGTGATTTGATCGATGAGACAATTCATCCACTTTCAAAATTGAATCTTGTTTGTACTAATCTCAGCATTAAACTTAAAAAAAAAATTGAATTAATTACATAAAAATAGCGTGGATATCAGTGTTATTACAATTAATGACGTTTCGGCCAGATTCGATACAGAAGACTGTGTACTCTCAAAAAACAATTGATATTTATGTCCATCTCGCGATGTTGTCAAAATTAATAAGATATAGATATTAAGCATTTAAGGAGGAAAATATAAAAATATAAATCCTACAAAAATAGAAATAAATTTAATAGCAGTTCTGATTAATTTATTATCAAACAATGTATTATATGTATGTATTTTTGTGTTGATCCTTCTTTTTTCATTAATTATAACTTTATTTCATTTACGTTAAATGTACAGAAATCTGTACGTCATAATATTTTTTACAATAAAACTTGACAATTAATTATTTAGCTAGAAATTAATTCTTTTTATTTATAGACATACAAATCTCATATCTGTGAATTTATAATTTTATACAAATTTTATACAAATTGATTAACTGCCAGAATGTTAAATTTTTATATATAAAATTTTGTTATTTATGTTAAAATTATAATTTTTTAACAATTTTTGTATTACAATAATTAAAAATAAATTGAAATTTGTTTTTCATATTTCACGCTCAAGATTAACCGATTATGTATTAAAACTATGTACAATTTCAATTTATTAATTTGGCCAAAATTACCTCTTTTCAGTATTAATAAAAACTTTAACATTTACACAAACATTTTTTTTTATTTATACTAACAATAAGTGAGCTAAGATATACATAACAATTAATTATCAACTGATTCAATGTAAATCCCATTTTTAATAGATTCAAGTAACACATAAAATTACAATATTGATAAATATAGATAAATGAACTAAGAAGATAAGAATAAAATTGGCGCGTTGTAAAAACTAAGAGTAGTTAATATTTATAAATCACCAATGTAGCTTTTTTTATTAAATAAATTAGTTGGAAAATGTTAATGTAGAAAATAATATTTTTTTATTTTATTTATATTTGTGACATGATTTACACGGCTTGCGTTACAGATTTTAGTGCATTTTTTGTATTTTATAGAAAATATTGACATTGTCTTCTTTGAATTTTGATACATTTCCGAATTCTTTGCTTAAATCCTTTCTGCACTGTGTTAAAGACGCAATTCTATTGGTTTAATATAAATGTTCGCTCAAAATTTTGTTATTTAGATCCGATTATTTATTTTCGAATCTTTGTATATAAAATTAACACATAATTATGATAATTTGATAATTAAGCATAGTTTTTATTAAATTAATATGTTTTTTTAGTACTCTTTTTCTCTCTTTCTCTTCTATAATAGCAATGTTTTTTCAGCAGATATTTATCATCACAACAATCGCTACGAATCTACGAGACTAGATCATTAACCTTGTTATGTAATTGCCGGTCTCTTTTCGAGGAGCGGATACCCTTGATCCAATTTTTGTCGTACAAGCGCAATGATCTTTTTACGCTGTTTAATAAGCAATTTATTGATAATTACTCTATCTTTTACATCAATTCACTAACGAGAGAAACGGAGCAATTATGCGTAATGCAACAAAATCTCGGTGCAGATAATCGGTTATTGCGCTCCAATTTATTGTTGCGCTATATTAGATCATACATACACAAGATTTTCAAACAAATTTGGAAATTGATTTTTATTATTGCGTTCTTTATGAAGAATCAAGAATAATACAGATTTTGAACATCGTAGATTAAATTAATATATTTATTTTAAAGACTTTTACTACTTGATTAATTTATAATAGAGATATTTAGCAAATATAAAAAATTATTTTCGCAGAGAGTTATCAAAGTTAATTTTTATCAAACAAAAATATAAATTTTTACAATTCTTTTTATTGTTCTTATGTGTTACGTTCTTCAAACATCCTGCGAATGTGTCCTCCAAAAGCTTTATCAACCATAAACTTCTTTGCGGCGTATAATTAATCCATTTTCGTCTTGATCACGTATTCAAGTGGATAGTCAGTGCGGAGAGAACTCCGTCTCGTGTTACAAGAATAGAATACTGTACCGGAAAGGAAAGGTGCGCGGGCCAATCGCGCGTGTCACCAGTGACCACAGCTGGGAAAGAGGTATCAGCCGCTCAAGCAGCCGTGACGAATTTATATCCGTCACGAGTAATACGTCGTTGTCAAATAAATTACATACACGTAGATGTAGTTCAAGATTTCTAGCTCGGGCACTCGGGCTTCTCCTTCACGCGACGCATGTCGCGTTATACGATGCGACGTAAAGACAATGACGTTAATCCGGTACGCAATATATAATCTCGTAAGAGTCTCTTGATTATTCTAATTTTACTTTGCAACGCGAGTCTAAAGATGGCTTGCGAGTAAAAAATAGTGAATTAAAACATACTGCGACGTGTACCTTGGCATTTAGATGGCTTTGAAGCAACCTGCATAAAGAGGCGCATTTAAGTGACGCTGCTCAATTATTTTACGTAATGCGCGCTTTTCAAGCAGCTTGGCTATATGATCACAGGTACTGAGATAAAAATATTAAATTAATTCAAATTACATTGTTTCGCGGGCGACGCATGCTTTTGTCCGTAGGATACTTTCCAAGCGTTTTCTCCCGCTGAGCTAGACATATTGTGTCCATTATAAGTCTAAGTGTCCATTATAAAAGTTCATTAAAGTCGCATTACATTAGATAACCGCAAGATGCTTTCTCAACGAGCGTCCTCGCCTGGAAAGAATACAATCAGCTTGCAATGCACATGTGACTAATTGATGCAGACAATTAGTTCACGCTAATAATATTTAAATAATGCACAACGCTATGTTTGTCATGTGTTTGAAAATTTCTTTTATAAATGTTATAAAATATAATGAAAATGGCGATAAGAGCCGTTGCAGGATGTTCGTGCTAAATTTTTAATTTTTCTTAAAGAAATTAGTAAATTAGTCTACAAGAGACAGTTAAATTGTACACCGATCTCAATT